AACCACTAAGTTGGTGAGCCTGGGTTAATCTCATTTATAGTTAACCACCAGACTGGTGACCGAATCCCAATGGGTTACCTGAGGACGTGCTCGGTAGCGAGCAGTTCGGTTTTGCAAACGTAATAACCTAATCGAATAGCACAATGTGAAACACAAGCCAAATAGACATTGTAATGTAAAAGCCATTGTGAACAGGCGCCCGATTAGTCAATTAATTAGTACCAATTAGCTATTACAATTCATTATGGAAAAACAGAGTACATTGGCCGGTGAAAATGATTATGTAATTGACAAGGTGAATTTCGACAGAGAGCAAACTAGAGTGGAAAAACGATACAAAAGAACAAAAAGGGCTCATGCTGAATTCATTAAGGCAACACCACTTACGGTACTCGAAGAATTGGGAAGGGAGTGTGTTGACGCCGGACGTGTGTGTCCGCTTTCCGCCGGACGTGGGGTGGTGCTACGATTGGCCGAACTGGGTGACTGAGTCTGACTCGGTGACCAAGAGGCTAGTGATCAAACAGAAATAAATGAATGGAAAAATGCAACATACCTTGTTGAGCAGACTGCGATGTGGAGGAGAACTGTGGATTTGAATCATCATCCGGTCTGAAATTGAAAAATTCGGGAAACAATACCGTATAGACTGCAGTCCCTTGATTTTTGGGAGCAGGAAATACATACATACATACATACATACATACATACATACATACATACATACATACATACATACTGACATACATACATACATACATACATACATACATACATACATACATACATACATACATACACTGACATACATACATACATACATACATACATACATACATACATACATACATACATACACATGCGTTGGGGAGGTTAACAAACTGATAACAAAAGTTTGACACTTACGCGTCTAAATGCCCGAGAAATTTTGGAATGATGCGGCGTCGGCCATCCTTAGCACGCGTTTCAATTTGCTTCGAAGGCTGAGCACGTAAATATAAGATGATATTCAGATATGTTTTTCTGAACACTCATTTATGTCATCTCATCAGAGAAAAGACAAAGAAATCAGAGGCTGATTACAGCAGAAACCCAAAGATCGCAAGAGGACAGAAACAGATGATGTGTATCACCTATTCCTATAGTCGCACTTCGAAAATGAATTATGGCGGAATTTGAATGAAAGCGATGTGCAGACCAACCCAAGGAGACATACGAACACGGCCAGGCGAAATAACAGAAAATGGCGTTCAACACAAATGCTGTGATTGTTTGGGTACATAGACGATACGCCTGAATTCGGATCGAAAATGGTATCGCCAAGGTCTGAGTGTGACTAGATTACAAGAACGCCTTTAAATGATATGGATACAAAACTACGTTGGTTGCGTATTTGATATTTGACATGGTTGGTATCGTGCACACGTTGACCCAGAGAATCAGCGGAGTCACTACAAACAGCTGATAGAAATAAACACACGACCAGACCTCCGAAAGCCTTAGTATAGTCGGGGGTAGGTGTCTATGGTTGCGGCTGGTCACCCTTAATTTGCATCTCGCGAAATACCCTCATACGACCAAGCGTCTCGAATAGCTTCTGCTGAGTAAGCCCTACTCACTGCCTTCTCGTGGTGGTTTTTCCAACCAAAATGAGAGGGCGAAAAGCCGGTATCCGGGGCTATAACCGGGTTGGTGGACCACCGATAGTTCACCCAGGGGAGTTGGCCAAAAACCCCGCTTCCAAACCAACCATAAGGAGGCGTAGCAACCACACACCCCGGTTGTGGCGGTTGTGGTCACCGATTCGATTGGGCATCGAGGTGTATTAGGCACCTTGGACGTTTGACTCCATCGAAAGGGTGACGATCCGATGAACTGGACACCGGCCCTGAATGGTTTTCACACCCCGCCAGTGCCTTGTGGGTCCGGCTTTGGTTAGCCGAAGGCTCCGGTTGTGGATTCCTCAATAAAACTCATTTGCCTTGGCCTGAGTAACCTGGCAGTATTAGGCGCATATGCAAATCATGGAAAGTTTTTCTTTGTTAAAATGATTGTTCTACTGTGACTTTTTTGGCATCTAGGGAAATTTAAAACTGAATCAAGTTCATCCACTGTAGTTTGACTGAATTTTGAAAATAATTCATATGTAAGGAATCGTGAAATACGCGAACTTTCATAGACCTTGGGATGTGCGCTGTATGGCCTGTCTCACCAGAGAATCCTGTAGGTTTTCGAAGAAACTGGATATCTGGAATAGCAACAAGTCAGATGTGTCGTGGAAATTAACCTACGGATTATGAAGTAAATGATTGCCGATTGGTTAAAGAACCGCAGGTCAATCAAAATCAACCACAGTTTTCAGACTGAAGCGACCACGAACAAAGTAGTTCAGTGTGCCATCAGTGACAATCGACGTAGAAAAAAAACAATTTTGTAATGCACGCCGGGACACAAGCAAACTGAACAATGAATTGCACTCTCTGGAAATTCCAACGAGGAGTGCTTTAAGCAAAGAAACATGATGAGGCGATGACAGTGAAACAGATAGAAAGAAAAGATGAAGACTTATGCTCTGCAAACGGTTGGTTTGCGGCACTACTGATGAGAAATCATACTAGGTAGTATAATTAGAAGACAGTTTAACAATATTGATAAAAAAGGTAACCAGGTTTATGAAATCAATAAGAAAACTGGTTGGTTTCCACAAGAGAATTCATTCCCTTCCTCGTAAGTCAATAGGATAAGCGACGCACACCATTCATTAGAAATTTGTTCACTTTTTACCCTAAACAAAGGAGTTCTGCCAACTATAGCACCAACGCTAAGCTTCCCATAGTAGCAAATGAAGAGGACAAATTATCGGTTCCAAGAGTGTTAACCCTGTTGAGGTAACTTCCATCCCCAATAACCTACACTTTAGGAGTAAAGCTGGTATCAACTGGTAGTAGTTGTTAATTGAAACCAAGAAGTCATAAATCTAATGTCGATGAGGGCCGTTTGAACTGGGTCCAAAAGTGTACTTCTTTATTACACGCCAGTGTGTGATGAAAAGCAGACGGGACATACCCTATAGTCACGAAGACCTGCCGTTCGATGATGGTAACCGGGAACCTGATCCCCGGGACTTACCGCGAACCGCATCAGGCCCCGTTAGGTCAGGCGTGGTATTGAACCGGACGACGGCAGAGCCGCCTACTACTCAAGTTGGGTGGCGATGGTAGGGCTCCAACCTCGGACGATAGATTCCGAAGCATGCCGGTGAAGGCGACTAAACCACTGCGCCACCGCCACCCATTGTTCGAAACCGTGTAGCTGAATATGAACCGGGGTGCCGTCAAACTCCTCGCTAAAGCATCCCTGGACTCGTACACCTAATTAGTTGGAAAAGATTGCGAGTGAAACAAGATGCCGCCGCCTACTGTATCTCTCTATAACTTCCACCCACCACGTCTCGCAGTGGTCCCTTAGACTATAGATGAGCTGACTTCGAAGGTACTTGCGCGTACTGTCCTATTTGATAATCCGATCAGTGATCCTGCGAGCATGTGGCAAACCACCAGAAGTAGAGGAAATCCTCGCTTGTGCTTTGATTGTGTGCCAAAATTCATCACTGTTTTCGACAGATGATTTAATGTCCTGTACAAGGAGGAGGTAGAATGGCTGATTCGAACACAAGATCCCCGAACTGATCAGCTGGTGACCAACACTACTCAATTAATAGGTCGTTTTTAGAAAAAAAGGCTTTGGGATATGCCACCCAAGCAATTTCCCGAGTTTCCAAAGTGATTCCCGTAGTGTTTTACAATCGTGATATATAAATTTAGCTAAGAGTTCCCAGTATACCACATTTCGTTAATCATTCTGCATACAATGAGGATATAACGAACCACAGACAAACTAAATGGTTCTGGTAGCATTTTGTGCATCGAATACAAGATGAGGCGGACTCATTACAGAACTAAAATATGAAGTGAGCGAACAAGAACTTACTCCTGCTGGTGGTGGCCTTGCCGCAGGTGTGCACGAATTACTTTCTGCGTTTTCTTTCAAGCGTTTACAAATTACAGCTTGAGTTTGTTGGAGTGCCAACGCTTCCGGTGTCTCCAGAATAATATCCGACTGGTTCAAATTACCGTTCGGTTTCCGTCCGGGCCCGGTAGCACACACGCCTTTGGGTAGTCCAATCGCTACAGCCGATTCGGGATCGAATTTTTCGAGCAGGCTCTGGCCATAGGCCTTGTGATGCAATCGAACCTGTGGGGTTATAGGGAACAGATGCGCAAACCACGGAGTTCAAACTATTTGACGTTCATAAATTATGATTATATAGCATTATTGTACTTACTGAGTATTACTGGTGTTGTGAGTAGTACGTTTAGATTGTGCAAAATAACGCGATTGGCGGTTTCTCCCAACGGTTAAAAATGAAAAACACCCTCTAGAACGAATTAGTCTTCAAAATGGTAACTATAGAAAACGCGCAATACCATCGAATCGTTCTATTATTGATCCTATGTGTTTGCGGGAATTCTGAAGTCTTGTTCTAAATCAGATATTTCGTTGTATGTATGCCATTTTACCGACACCCTTACAGATATTCGCAAGAAAGATCCTCGTCCCGGCACCGCCTTGTGGAATTATAACACTGGTACAGTCCATTTGGGAAAGGGAACTTCGGCATATGCCGAATGAAATTAGACCGTGGTGATGTGGTTCGGACACACCATGATATTAACCTACATTGACTGACCGCCACAGCCACCGACAAAACCCATAAAACTGTGCATCTGTTCACATTGATTCATGCAACAAAGTTGATTTGAAATATGAACAACTGAGTGAAATGGAAACATTTCAGCTTGGAGCAAACCAGTGCCTGTTGGTGGAGAAAGATTTACGTCAAAAGAGTAGTTTAATGAAAACTGGCGCCTTCAAAATAGTAAAAATAGCAATCATCATATTCATTCAGCAGCAAGAAAGCGGTAGTCAGGGAGCATGGCAAAAACGATGAACTCAGGTCGCGTGATTAATTTGTTACTATTCTTTATTTTCTTCTTCGATTTTTTTATTCGGTTTACTTCTTCACTGTAGCGCGATAAATAATAAGAAATGTGTATGTCACAGACAGGAAGTTGACACTCGAAGCATCAAACCTAGAAATTACTGTAATCGTGGTGGTGAAACAACGGAATGACTCAACTTGAGATGTGGCTTACCAACTCAGCTGTGGCCCATGGTGTTCCGAGCTCGGAATTTTTGAAACCCATGTAGGAAACTGTACCATCTAGTGAGCATGCCATCAATTCTTGACCATCAGCGCTCCTGTGGACAGCATGCAGGGGAAAAGAAAGTGTCATCTATAAACGACAGTTGAACAGGAAGCACATTGGTAGTTATGGCGTACAGGCTGAGAGACATTTGACATGGAGTTTGACAGGTGCGACCTATCCTGTTGGACAATAGTTTCCACTAAGTCAGACACGGAACTGTTCAGTGAATTGTTTGGGACATGTAAACCAACGATTGCATCCGCTAAAGTGTGCCAACCCAAGTGAACACGAGGGATTTCCTTAACTGTGTTTAGCATCTAATCTTGATAACCGATATGAAATATGTATGAAAGTGACATTAATAAACAGAAAACGAGAAAACAGATACACGAATAGGAGTCCTAAAAATGTGGACAACTGGAAAACCTTAAATTGAAAATATAGGTGACATGAAATACGACGAAAATGTAATTCTATAAGCTTCTGGAGCACTGAATAACGATTCGCAAAGTAATGTCCTTTACGGTTTCAAACATCAAAGGAAGGGTAAATCCCTAAGAGTGATAATGACCGAATTATTGTGATGCGTATTTGACGTGACCAGCAATTGTGCGCTAAGATGCACTTCACCTGTTCCATATGCATTTGAGCATCATTTTTACCTTGATAACAAACAACCGAGAGCATTCCTAAGATTGCTACAAATTAGGATTGTTCCGGCCAATGTGAAAGGTGTACGCATCACCTATCATTCAAAACTATCCACTATGATAGCTAAAATCCCATCAACCCTTGTGAGGTCAGATTTGCCAGCAATCATCAAAAGAATATAAGGGGTATCCGGTAGGAGGGCGTCCTATAACAGTGAATTATTGCATCCTTTGTGGTATGGTCTGCTTTTTTTAGTCACCATCATTTCCATCCACTATCCGACTCTCAACTGTGGTTCCCAGAAGTTGTGAAATGCATCAAAAACCCCATCTAGGTAGACTCAACCAGAGTGATAAGAACCGAAGCCAAAAAGAAAATTGGGGAAATGTCGTGCGGCATGGAATGAGTTCTCAATGGGCGAGCGAAATCTCTTGCCTAACCCAATTGTCCGAATAGCCCGGGTGCATGGATCTATAGGCCACATCCACATTGACCGAAGGGTGTTCGAGCTCTCAGCGAGCCAGCGGTAACCATGCACGAACATACTGCTGCCTCACAGTCAGCACTTGGTGCAAAGACTAGCGGTGCATACGCGAGAAATCCGAACGGTGACAGGGATGTCTCGTGCACCAAACTTCCCCGAAACTCGTTCAATTATCCTCTCTAAGGAAGCAGTCGAAGAAAACTGAAGTAATCACAATCCCTTCTGCATGAATTTTAAACCAAGCCTACTGAAAGTAAATCTTTCCTGAGATAAACTTGAATAAAGAGTACAAAAATGCAACTGAGGATGATCTAATACCAGAGTTCCCATCACAGATGGTAACTACCACAGGAAAAGAAACAATTTGCATATAGGATGTGACTATAGTTTAACATAATATGACATGGTTGTTTCACTTACATACAGAATTGCTTCTCTTGAGACAGGTGATTGCTAGGTCCAGTGCAAATCTTGAACATCCGTACATTCACAGCTATATAAATAACCCGATACTAAGTCCTTGATCGGCACAAAGGCCAATGTGAAGCAGATTACGAGCAACTGACAATGCGGGTGTCCAGCACTCTTGACTCAAGGGTCTAGTTATCTGTGTAACTCTCAATCTCAACTAGTTACATTCGATCCATGCTGGTATGTGTCTAACCACTCAGTGACGGAGATAATTTTAAACGTTTCTAAAACAACAAACAATAAACCCTGTGGTCCAATTAGCTCCAAGAAATCTATGCGTCTTGTCCTTAATAGCCCTACCTATTCTATCCGTTCCTAGTCCTGAAATACTTGTGTTCTTTCAAGAAAAGTCACGTCAATGAGAGCAGTAAAACTGCGACATAAACACAGTATGTGTATGCGTATGAAAACATTTTAATCCACAGCGTACGTGTTGACATTCTCCGTTTGAACAAAACAACCGGTTAAACCGAAAACATTCTATCAGGGACTCTTTCCGTAAGTATTCCTCCAGTTTAAAGTTGATTCAACGAACCAGAGGCTGGTGAATGATAGGTCAACTCTCAGTCTCCATAGAATCGAACAGATACGGCTTTTGAGAAGAATTTAGTACAGTCAGCTTGCTGTGCAACATACAGTACAGAATGACTGGAATAGAAACCCACCGAAAAAAATGATGAGCACTACAATCAGCTAAATGTGGGGTGAACGCAGCCCTGACCGGACAAGAAACCGAACGGATGACCAACAGTGAGCATAGATAAACAAATACTCCTATCTAGGTATTGGCCTAAAGTAATGCAAGAGACTGGATTAAGAAAACAAATCACACTATGGCACACTGAATGAAATCCGGTACATTCTGACAATATTGTGCTTCATACACACAGAAAGCCAACCGCAACGTAAGTTATGATCAAATGACGTGGTAAATGATTAAACCGAGTGTATGCGCCCTATGTCCAAATAAAAAATTCAGTGTGGATTCGGGAAGTAAAATTCGGTACTATAGAAACCTTAGTTTGCTGAATCCCATTGAGGGAAGCAGCTGCTTCACGTCAGGTAAGTATCTGAAGAAACACCACCAGTGCAAAGTGAATCCGTTCTCAAATTTTTGTGAAGACTAAGGGTATGCACTTCCGATTGTTATGACAACCTTCCCTCCTTCTGTTGAGCGATTTGGCAGGTGTGGAACGAAAATCGTTCAAAATATCCAATCGAAGTCTTACTGACACATAGAAACATTAATCCAATGTGGTGGCTGCCTTGTGACGGCCCATCTGGATGAAGCAGTAGAGGAAAGACAAGGAAAGTTGAAAGTAGATTAAAATAGAAAATGGAGAATTTCAGTGGACTAAAGTTGCAATGAAACTGAGAAGATGCACGAACGTCACTGTTTACGACAGAGTCATATCATTCAGTGTCTCTAAGTGGTCTGCTTCACGGTTGCGAGATCTGGCCCCTTCGCGTTGATGAGGCTAATCGACTTTCTGTATTCGCCCACCGATGTCTCCGAAGTATTGCTCGTGTCTGGTGGAAACACTGGGTGAGCAATGACGAGGTTCGTCGTCGTGTGTTAGGTGCGGATAGGCGTTTTCTAACAAGAAATCGTTCTACACCGCCTCCAATGGCAAGGTCTTGTTTTGCGTATACCTGCCCATCTACCTCTCCGTGCACTTTTCGCCCGGGTTAGGCAAAGCTGGAAGAAGCGCCGTTGCAGTTATACCATGATATGGTGTAAAGGTATGAAGAAGCTAGATTCAGCTTTGGCTTCGGTAAGTGCAGCCCACCTTCTACGTTGGGACCCAAGAGATGAGGGTTGCCGTAGGGTAGAGACGCTGAGATACAGCCCAGAACAGAAGTCAGTGGCGCGAATGCTGTACGGTCTGTCTGTTGAAACCCCTTGCTCCATAAAAAGCATTAAACAAACACAAAAAGTATCAAAAAGTGTACGGTGAAACAAACAAAAAATATATATTCTTATTATTCACTTTAACCGTTTGACCCCCGTTTCACCCTACTTTGTACCCCAACTGCCCCGTCCTCAGCTATTCTTGTTGTTGCGTCAGTAGTATACTTCTTCTCAAATCTGTGATAAATTCATAAACGGCTCGCATACAGAAGGCTAGGTCGGCATTTGCCAACTTGCGACAACTGTGGCACCGCCGTAACCTCCCGGCTGTCCGTGAAGAGTGGGATGTATACTGCGGCAGTTTGACCAGTTCTATCATACGGCGTAGAAACAGAATAAAAAGAGATTGTCGATGTTCGAACACCGCTATCTACGTCGCCTTTCACGAGTCTGGTGGGGTAACCGGATGAGCAATGCTGAGGTTAGGGGCAGAGTTTCAGGTATTCGCGGTCGTCCACTGGAGCTAGTGGTCAACCTGCAAAGATTACGTTGGTTGGGCATGTGTTATGCATGTCACCAATCAGGTTGCCACGGCGACCGGTGTTTGCTGAGGCAGTTTCAGTTTTTACAACCTTTAACCATGCACTTTCGTGCGCCGGTTTTGGTCGCTGTCTTTTAGTTGCCCATTTGGATAAAAGAGCGAAATGAAGATTGGAATGTTGAAGCAAATTTAAGCGGAAGATGGGTAATTCATATAGAGTGAAGTTAGGAAAATAACGAGTGGATACAAGAGCACCACTGTTTGCGATACCCAGCCATATCACTCAGTGTCTC